CTCGTAATACAAGACATCAATCGTATGACAGTTGGATTCGTACTGGTCAATTATTTCATTCACAAACAAGTCATTAAAAACTCTATTATACTTAAATCTATTATAAAATTTACGAAGACAGTCACATATATTCATGAGTTACATGAATCCGGCTGTGTTATACGCTGTGTTATATCAGATACACAAAAATCCCCACCCTAAGGAAACACTAATTTTTTTAGTATAAAAGTAGCCGATTTGTTAATCCAGGGTGTCAGCACCTCCAAATACAATCAAAATTGATCCAGTCTTGGCGTGAAGAAGTAACAAACACACAAACTTTCGCCTCAATAATATAAGATTCTTGGCAACCCTACACCGAATAAACAAGGCATCCGACCAAACAACACACGAAATAAATAACCCTCACCAACTTCATACACAAAACGATAGAAAGGGAGAAAGTTTATATAATTCTTTATCCAATATCATGTAGTAATAATAACATACATGAAACTGTAGCGCGCGTTGAAACAATCAAAAACTTATATTGCAATTCAAATGGTGTCCAACTTCGTTCATTATTGTGTTCCACGTGACTGGCTATTGTTTAGTATTGTATCGGAAATTGTTCTTGTATAGGATGTTTTAAAATTATTTATTTATTTATTGAGTCTTCCTGCAAACGTATTGCATAAGGCGGACTTAATGCCTCAGGCATTTTCTTTCAGTCAAACCTTTGGGTGTTGCAAAGCTGTGTGTGGCAGGTGTATATTTGGGACAGGTAAAGATGAGACTGAATTAGGAAATTTTACAATGGCAGAAAAGAAAAAAAACCTACAGATATATAAGTACGAGTACTAGGCATACATACATATAGTTTATATTATACATATAAATATCATTTATTTATCAACAGCTTTTACTGTCCACTGTTTTAAATAGGGCTTTCTTTAGAAAAGAGGGTTTGTCCTACTATACCAAGCTGGCCAGACGGGTTGGTATAGGGTTTGTTTCAAGTTTTGTTTGAAGGTTTGTTTGAAGAAGAAGCACCAGGAGCGGGCCGGCGCTGGGAGGGGTCCAGAAGGCGATAACTACTTGGACCCCTCCTAAACTGGAAGCGCAAAGAGGGCACACCGTGTGGTTTTAGTCGGTTCGAGTCCGACACACCACCCCGCCGCAAACCCCGGTGGGGTGACGGTCCGAGGGGATTTCCACACGTTAAAAAAAAAAAAAAGGGTTTGTTTGAAGTTTTCCTTACAGTGCAACCTACGGTATGAGTACGGGTGGTGACACGCGGACGTAGCCTTGCGGCTGGCTGTTATAGTGGTTACCAGCGGCAGGCTGGTTACCATGGTACAGGCCTGTCTAGTTTCTCTGTTTATGTATTTACGAGTAATACTAATTTCTGTTTTTTTTCTGTTTCAGGTAAGATTTCAAACAGCCTGTTTCGTTAGTAAGTAGAAAATTTGAAAGTTGTATATATTTACTTACAATTAATAACTATTTATTTATTTATTATATACTATCTACGCCTCATAGTTTCTTTCACGAAGTAGGCGTTTCGTTCAAAGCGATTTATATTTATTAAAATATCAAATGACATTCAGCGAAAATAGTTCTGTTAACACGAGCCTTAGAAAAATGAAATGGTTTTTATATTTCTAGGTAATGAAATATAAATATACTTTCAAGCTTTACCTCCTACAAAAACTAATGAAGCTCCTCTCAAATTATTTTAATATAAAAAGAGAGGAACGCCATGTTGCTCTGCAGCATTAACTTTGAGTTTAATGTTCACAGCTACCCTCTAGCTCAAATAAATTAAGTGACTAGAATGAGAGCTCTTTCCTAGCGAGTGTTCTTAGAACGAAACTAACAGTATACCTCAATTAGAAGCGGAGATATAGAGAATGAAAGCTATGAAAACATATTAAACTAGGGATTAAACGTGGCTTTACTCCCGTGATTATATATTTTTCCATGTTTCTAACTACGCAGGACCACGGCACTGCAAAAAGAGACGGAAAACTTGCTACCAACCCTTTATCCTCACGTCTGGCTAGCGTGGTATGGTAGGCCAAAACCTCCTTTCTAAGGAGAGGCCTATGTCGAACAGTGGACTATTGAAGGCTTTCTATGATGATGATGATGTTTCTAACTTTGAGAATGACGAATTGCTATACCACCGTTCATCCCCCATTTTCATTCATTCATACCATTTCGTTCATACCTTAAAAAAAGTCTTGCGTTCCCAGCAGGTTGCACATGGTCACTCTTCTGCGTCAGTCTGTGAATGCGTTAAGACTTGTATACATACGTAAATCTTTGCTGTGAAAATAAACTTATGTATATTAGTTGAACACGGACGATCATAAAAGATACTGCTTGGAAATCGATATGACTGCAAAAATATGTCGGAAAAAAGGAAAAAAAGGAAATTTATTCTGTTGATCCGAAATAAATTATAGAAAAATACAAGAAGGTGATGAACTGCAGATATTATCAGACAGTGACACTGACAATAAAATAGCATTGAGAAAGCAATTTATTCAAATTATCTTCGGACGGAAACTGATTCGTTTTGCAATCACTTGCGTGATTCAGTACGGTGTACATTTATACATATGCATAAATATTTCTTAAAAATCTGCCGTGCCATACATAGGACTATGTATTCCTGGTTTAAAGAAAACAATTGATCTATTCGTAGACTGTGTAAGTACATTTTTAACCGACTTCAAAAAGAAGAGATTATCAAGGCTGTGTTTTTTTATTGTTTGTTTTCTCAAAATTCCATAATTTATAAAGATAGAACAGAGAAAATACTTTTTTAATTTGAAAGCATATACACTGGACAGCAAATAAACCGAGCCACCCGCTACCTAGGCACTCTAATTCGATTTTCTCAAAAACTAAAAAACCTACAATTAACAAAGTTGTACCTACAGAAAGTGCGTTTCATGGTGATTAAAATGAAAGGAAACTCATTGGGTTTAATCAATATTTCAGTGTTTATTAAGGATTTTACAAAGAAGAGTCGTTTTCCAGTCGTGACAATCGTTAGTAATGATAAAGTGAAAAAAAAATTAAAGCCAAAAACAAAGATAAAATCAAAAAAAAGTTTGATCAATATTCCGTATTCCCTCCCCTTGCTCGGATAACTGCCAGCATCCTTGTATTCATCGACCTTACGAGCCCGACGATAAAATCGTGAGGAATTGTATTCCACTCCTCTTCAATTGCGATTCGCAGCTCTGGAAGCCTTGTTGGAGCAGGTACCCGAGCTCGAACCCGACGTTTCAGCTCATCCCATAAGTGTTCTATCTTATTCAAGTCCGGGCTTCGAGCTGGCCAGTCCATCATACGAATGCTGACGTCGCGTAGATACTGTGTCACCACATGAGCAACATGAGGCCCTGCATTATCATGCATCAATTGCATATCCTGTCCGATATATCCTGCGTAAGGTACCACATGGTCTGCGAGGATTTCAGTAATGTAGCGATGAGAAGTCAGTCCACGTGTACGGCCCGTCGGTTCGATGAAAACTAACGCTGTATGTGCTGTTAACGAGATGCCGCCCCAGACCATTACAGATCCTCCTCCATAAGCAACAGTTTCCTCGATGCAACACTGAGAATAACGTTCTCCAGGGCGACGATATACTCTCTGACGTCGATCACTTCCATGTAGCCTCACCCTGGTCTCATCAGTGAAGAGTACATTACTCCACTGCTCTAATGTCCAATCCCTATGCTCTCGAGCAAATTCAAGTCGTGCTCGACGGTGTGCTACCGTTAATGCTGGGCCTGTTGCAGCTCTTTTTGGGGTCAGGTTCCGTTCAGCAAGTCTCCTTCTGACGGTATCTGAACTTATGACCACTTGGCGTTCGTCACGCAGACTTTGTTGGACTTGAACTGCGTTGAGGTGGCGATTTCGCAGAACAGTAAGGTGGATATAACGATCATCTGCTGCTGATGTAGCCCTAGGTCTGCCCGTACCTGGGCGGCGATCGAATGCTCCAGTCTCTAGGTATCGTCTGTAAACTCGTTGCATCGAAGATCTGCTGATTCAAAGCCTTCGAGCGACTTCACGTTGCGCAATGCCTGCTTGAAGTAATGCTACAGCTTGAGCTGCTTCCTGAGGTGTTGTATCCATTATTAATCGAAAAAAGTAGCAAAAACACACGCGTCTGAGCAAACGATGGACAAAAACTAAAGAAATGATAAGAAATGTCCGACTACCCTCATTGTAGAGAAAAAGAACGCTAATTTCAAACTCTGGTGAAAACAGAGCAAATCGTTAGCATTGTGTTTGTTGCTTGATTACAATGTGAGTTGACGGTACTTTCGAATTAATTTTTAGTCATTTTAATCACCATGAAACGCACTTTTTGTAGGTATAACTTTGATAGTTGTAAGTTTTATACTTTTTGAGAAAATCGAATCAGAGTTCCTAGGTAGCGGGTGGCTCGGTTTATTTGCTGACCGGTGTACTTGCCGAGTGGTCTCATTAAAATTTCAAGAAAAAATGCCCGACTTCGGGCGAAAACTAAGAAATAACATCAACAGCCTTTAACAGTCCACTGATGGACATAGGCCTCTCCTTAGAAAGGAGGTTTTGGCCTACTATACCACGCTGGCCAGACGGGTTGGTATAAGATTGGTGTCAAGTTTTCCTTCTCTCTGCAGTGTTATTGTCCTGCGTAGTTCGCTCCCTTAGTCGCCTCTTACGACACCCATGGGATGAATACGGGTGGTCACACTCTGTGTTCTTAATCCGTCACCACACGGACAAAGAAATAACAATTCAGTATATTGCAATGCGTGTTGTAAATAAGAAAAATAAAAACAAAACTCGACAGCTTTTTTCGTTCCTATTGTATTAGGATGACCTACTGATTTACATCAATACTGAAATACACCATTTTATTCCTGCCACAAACAGCCTCCGAGTTTCAGATGGACTTTTTGGTGGTGTTACTGTTTCTAGAATGGTATTTGCTATCGAGACTGGCAATGAGCGATGTGAATCAGCTCATATGTGATGGTGTTGTATTGTTTGGCAAATATTATGAGAAGCAGCTGTTGTTTGGTGCTCTTCATGAACCCCGTAACTTATTGTTGCATAGGTAAGTTTTTGGCTAAATGCAATAAATCTCAAGAATAAATAAGGAAATCATCATACTTCTTGTTTTTTATCTGGATTCTTTAGTGTGGGTTGTTAACTCTTATTAATGGATAAACAATCCCCTGAAATAATTCAAAATCGAACTTCTTTAATAAATTTAATGTGATTCCCAACCTCTGCCTGGTGCCCTGTTGACTTACCATTTTTGCCTATCACACTCACAAAAATAACTAGTTCATGCTCTCTTTAACTATGGAAAATAATACCCAGTGAGGTGAATGGTGTTACTGCTGTTAAAGTTTGCTACCGTTGTTGGTGACAAACCCAAAATCTGTCTTGGAATTCCCTGTAGAATAATTGTATTTGAATATACATTTAGTCTGAAAAAGTATATTAAAGAATACCAGATTTCATTGTTTCCAAAATTAATTTTGCCAGTCTCTCCGGTGAACTGTTCTTCAGCCACACGATCCACAAAGGTGCCGACGCTTACTCCACAATCAGGACCTGTAACATGAACACAAAACGATGTATTGACATCAAAACTGTCGAAGATGGCCGCGCAATTGCTTACGATCGCAACACAAGTGAGATTTACTTCGGTGGCAGCAAAGGTATTTACAAATACGATTTCAAAAGCAAAACTGCACGTCTCCACGCTGAAAATGGTACTTCAATTTGGAACATGTTCATTCAAGATCTGTTCTACTACGTAGATGCTTCCACAAAAAGAATTGTAGCTAACTTAAGGGGCTACTTTCATATAATACCGCTCTTTAGCGAAATTGAATTCGACAATATTTTCTTCTCCGTATTAGATCACATGTACTTTTCTAACCGAACTGGATTATATAAAGCTCAATCAGTAATATCGCCAATATTTGTTCTGAACAATACGATGGACGTCAGACAAATATCCCAGGATATAAACGATAACCGTCTGACGGTATATTTTGCTGCGAAAGACGGATTGTACATACAGGATCCGTCTTTTCGAAAAATGATAATGGTGGCTGCAATCGACAATGTATTTGGCGTTACATTCAGGAACATATCAGATGGGACTAAAAACAAGAGTGAGATATTGTACTCGGACCAAGAAGCAATATATAAATTGGTTAAAAGCAGACACGGTTATTCTTGTATGATGAAGTTTGAAGCTCAAAAACAGGCAGCTCGCTCGATAAACTTAAAAATGACGGTTGACTTAGATTAGTGATGGTATCAGAAGAAATGTTTATAACGCAGATAATATTGACTGGTCTGTTGACCTTACGCCAGAGGTCAAATAATTGCGAGATGAGCAGATCATTATGTTCTGTGTCTGGGTGCAATTTAACTATAGTATGTATGTATTTAGAAATACACAAGTATGTTTATCAGCAGTCTGGTTAGCACAGGCTCTGCCTAGTTTGAGATTTTATTTTTTGCTTTCACGTTATGAATAAATAACGAATCATCCTAAAATAACGTAAACATGCATACACCTTGTCTATGGGAGGAATAAAAAATGGCATAGAATACGTGTGAAACCCAAGAAAAATACCGTAGCTCTAATCTAACTTGACTGACATAATATTAGTGTATAAATACAAAATGTTTGATTGTTGCGACTCTGACTCTTGCTACTTTTCAATAAATACATTGTTTCTAAAACTTCTAAACTTCTTTTTTCACTATTTTTTGAACGAAGTTCGCTAACCCAGCAATGTGATTTTGGAATAATTGAAATTTACGCGTAGAAGATGTACAAAAAATGATTAAACAATATGACAAAATAGTAAAAACAGATGTATAAAGCTACACACGTCTAGTATAATATACTACCTATTTGAAAGGCTATACTTAAGTGGTGACAGATTACGAATACAGAGTGTGGTATTTTACATATTATGATTGTGGTATTACGGATTAAGAATACAGTACATCCCGTGGGTGTCGTAAGAGCCGACTAAGGAAGCAAACTACGCAGGACAACAGCACTGCAAAGAGAAAGAAAACTTGAAACAAACCCTAGACTGACCCGTCTAGCCAGCGTGGTATACTCGTAGCAGCCCACAACCTTCTTTTCTTAAAAGAGCCCTATGTCCAGCAGTGGACTATTAAAGGCTGTTGATGATAATTTTTGTATGTTGATGATGATGATGATGATTTAAGTGAGATAGTATACTAATGTATATGTATATGATCTGTAGTTTCAGTTATAAACTAACTTTTGCCTGAGGCTCCGCCCGCATATGTGTAGGTCATCGCGATAAAAAGTTGCCTATGACTTTCCTCAAATTTTATCTAAATTAGTTCAGCGGTTATTGATTCGCCATACAAACTTCCAGCCTCCTTTTCACCCCATTAAAGGATGATTTCTGAAAAAAAAACTACCCTATGTCCTTTCCCGGGACTTGGACTATCTCAATATCAAATTTCATCTAAATCGATTCAGCGGTTTAAGCGTGAAGAGGTAACAGACAGACACACTTTCGCATTTACAACATTAGTATGGAAATGTCCAAATGTTTCTGTATCTTGATAAAATCCGGTTACCTCTACTCATCTTCCGTAGTCACTTTGAGATGCTGCGAAATCAAATAAGGGAAGAAATTTGAATTGTTTATTAATATTAAGCCCGGTATACATTAAGCTCTTATCGTGTAAGAAACGCGACGAAATAGACTTAGTCTGGCCGGCGCGCGACTTGAACACACTGTCTTTGCCAAATCAAATTACCTAAGAAATGATTTGGGACAGTGGTTCTTAAATATGTATGTATTTCGTGGACCCCATACTATAAGATCAACAGCCTATAATATTACACTGCTGGACATAAACCACTCCTTAGAAAGAAGGATTTGGCTTACTATACCAAACGGGTCTTCTCTTTGCTGTGCTGTTGTCCTGCGTAATTTGCTTCCTTAGTCGGCTCTTACGACACCCACGGGATGAATAGGGGTGGTGACACTCCGTTTTCTTAATCCGTCACTACAAAGACATTTGTCAGTACTATGTATGTTGACTGTAATAACAGAGAGAGAGGGAGAGAATAATATGGTCAAAAAATTTGTTCAGGATTCGGTATCACACGAATCTGGGTGTTCTTTGTGCCCTTGTTTGAATGTTTGCAGTTACTGCCGACACATGAATGTTTTTTTTTTTATTTATTATATCTTTATTGTATACACTAATAGAAAAAAAAAGCAAAACAAAAGATGAGTTACAAATAGGTAAACGTAACAATCGGCGGTCTTATCGCTTACAGCGATCTCTTCCAGACAACCTTATCATGAATTTTAGGTATTTAACAATTTAGCTTAGTATACATACACGTAACACAATATCACGTGAATATTTAAAAATATTTACAAACATAAACAAACACATTCATACACAAATATACATCTATGGACATTACACATATACAAATACACATACACACATACACATATACCCATTGATATTTGGAATATATAATATATTAAATAGGGAATCAGAACAGTATTTATAATGACAGATAAAAATCTTTTAATATTTTTTTAAAAACAGGCAAAGTTTGCCCCTGAATGTTGTGCCCCTAAATTTAATAAAATATATCAAGTACAAGCTTTTGCCCGCGGCTCTGCCCGGATGTATGTCGATTAACGCCGTAAAAAGTAGGCTATGTTACTCGCTGAAAATGCAGCTTTCCATTGGTGAAAGAATATTTATTATAAAATCGGTATAAGGGTTTAGGCGTGAAAGTGTCACAAAGCCACTTTCACATTCATAATATTATTGTATGTTTTTTTTGTACAGATTAAGTTAAAATTAATAACATAAAAAATAAGACATCAAATCTGAATAATGGAACTTCTTATACTCCACCTTTTTTTTAATAATTTTATTTCTTCGAATTTGTCAAAGTGGAAACGTGTTTTAATGCTTTTCAATTAACATTATCCTAGAAGCTTCCGTATGACAATTGATTTAATAAAGAGATATATTGTTGATAAAATATTAATTAAAAGTACCGATTCAGTGATCTTCAAGTTGCAGTTTGAGAGCAGCAAAGTTTGAGAGCCACAGACTCTCCCATACCGGGGGGAGCACGAGTGGGATGTCGGGTGGTGGCGAAACTGGGGTGAAAATTATGAATTTGTGAATAATTCACCGGGAACATCAAAATACTAATGTTAACAGTCGGCAGAGTCACACCAAGCTCTAATTCTATTTATTTGTATTGGTTAAAAAAACATAAAATGCACCTAGCCCCACATGGGATAACACTTTGTGTGATCCACAAATTGTTGTTCTGAGTCTGGGTGTTTTTTTGTGTCCGTGTTATGTATGTTTGTAAAGTCCCACGCGACACAGGATTTATTCCTAATGCGGGGGTTGTCTTTAAAAAGAAAAAAATAAAAACTACTTTGATTTCCTCTTCTTATTTATTTTCTAACACACCAGCGACTACCCTATACCTCTTCCTCTTCATGTTTTCTCTCCTTACCTCGGTTGCCTGTAAGATATTGCCTCATAACGATAAGGCCGCCACTTGTATTTGTCTAACCAAATTTAATAATTGTATACTAGCTGACTCGCGCAACTTCGTCTGCGTCTCTCAATAGTAATAAATTTTCTCCGTTTTTGAAACATTCTTCATTGGTGCTCCGCTCCTATTAGTCTTAGCGTGATGATATATAGCTTATAGCCTTCCTCGATTAATGGGCTATCTAACACTGAAAGAATTTTTCAAATCGGACCAGTAGTTCCTGAGATTAGCGTGTTTCTAACAAACAAACAAACAAACTCTTCAGCTTTATAATATTAGTATAGATTTATACCTGGTGTACATTAAAGCGATATTATTATTAGATTTTATTTTTTTTATGTTAGAGGGGCCAAACGAGCAGACGGGTCACCTGATGGAAAGTGACCATCGCTGTCCATTAACGTCTGCAACTCAGTAGTCACAAACGCGTTGCCGGCCTTTTAGGAAGGAGTACGCTCTTTTCTTAAAGGTTTGAAGGTCGTATCGGTCTGGAAATACCGCAGACGATAGCCGTTCCATAGATTGGTTATGCGAGGCAAAAAGTGTCTCGAAAAGCGCACAGTAGTGGAGCGCTAACTATCCAGGTGATGGGGGTGAAAATTTTTCCTTGTGGAACGATGGCGGAAAGATGTAATGAAATATTACATGATTATATTTAAGTACATAAAATGCGTTTGTGAAGAAAAAAAACGTCGTAGTAGTCTGCCTCTTGTATCATAATCACATCACATCACATCAACAGCCTTTAATAGTCCACTGCTGGACATAAGCCTCTCCTCCTTGTATCATAAATAAAAATAAAAATTTGCTCTCTCTCGGTGTGTCGCAAACGTTATAATAATTAAATTCGTAAGTAAGGCACAACAATGAAGGCGACATATTTAATTCTTGTTGTTTACGATTCATAAGTATCAAGTATTTTGGTAAAATTTCCATCAAAACAAGACATTATTGTGTAATATTGTTACGGACGAATCTCAACCGTATACCTTCTTACAAAAAAACTTTGATAAAATATATCGGCAGCGAACAGGTCACACCTCTTTTGTTATTTGCACGATACCTGTGCCTAAAAACTAGTTAAATGTTTTTGTCTGTCTGTTTGTTCCGGGTAATCTTCAAAACGGCTGGACCGATTTTTTTATAATATTTTATTTACTTATAAGAATTAACTTATAAAATTTTGCCTGGTCCGAGAATTGAACCCATGGACTGCAGTCGCGTACTTTAGTACACCACTAAGGCAGCGCGGAACGAAGTCACGGGTACCAGCTAGTTGTAGAATAAAGTTATTTTATAAATTATATTGTACTAGCTGACCCGCGCAACTTCGTCTGCGTCTCTTAATAGTAATAAATTTTCTCCGTTTTTGAAACATTCTTCATTGGTGCTCCGCTCCTATTGGTCTTAGCGTGATGATATATAGCCTATAGCCTTCCTCGATAAATGGGCTATCTAACACTGAAAGAATTTTTCAAATCGGACCAGTAGTTCCTGAGATTAGCGCGTTCAAACAAACAAACTATTCAGCTTTATAATATTAGTATAGATTTAAACTTGATGTTTTATAAATATGAGTTAAATTATTTTCTGCGTGTTTGATCTATTACTTTAATACCTTAACGACACATAAAATTAATTACCCTGACTGACAGACTCATCGACGCGGAACCATTTGTGCAAAACACTTGAAGTTT